GCCGCTGCGCGGCCCGGTGCCAGGTACTCCACGGCCCGGCACCGGTCCGCGGACCGGGGGTTGGGGACCACTGCATTAAGGCAAGAGTTTACTAAATGTTTTTCCTTAATTGTGTTCTTCTTTCTCATCTCTGTGTGCTTCCTAGGCAGCATCTCATTCTTTCTTTTCCCACAATTTATTTATTAATTAAAAACATGTTGAATTACTGGTCATGACTTTCAAGTGATCTGCATACTTTGTTTAAAAAAAATCATGGCATCTCTTTATTTCAAGAAGTAAAATCAAGGCATTGACAAACCTGATTACAGAGACCTAGCAAACTCTACAACTAATCAGATTTAAATTGGACTATTTTATAAGGTTAGGAGGATTTCGGAGAGTGGGATATTCATATTTCAAAAACCCCTTACCCAGATTTTGGCCACCACCAATAAAACAAAATATTTTACATTATACAATCCTGTTTTGACTTAGTAAAGAGGATTTAATTCTGTGAAACATTTTTATAGAAAAACAGTGAGAGTAAAGAAAATACAGCATTAGAGATGAAAATATGTCAAAATGATAGATATAAGAATTAGAGAGAAATTGTTGTAGTTTAAGCATTAAGAGGATTCAGAAAATGTAACATATTCAATATTGTTTGCCCCCAATGCTTTTTTCACATTTTTCTCAAATGGTTCTCATTTCCAGGTTACCTGGGCAGTTGATTTTGTTGAATAATGGACAATGTATAATAGTTGGTGTGTGTTCTCCTCTGAAGATGTAGCAATCTAATGGATTATCTAGATCTTGTAATGCATTCTCATCTATTTTTGGAAATGGAATTGCATGTGCTTCACAATATTCAGCAGCTTTTTTAATTGTCTAACCAATGAAGAAAGAGAAATCATTAATATAAAGAAATAGATGCTGGCTAATTAGAATTAATGTTTATAATTATTTCTTGTGTTGCATTTAGAGTCTAGACTCTGAAAGAACTCAACCCTGGAAAGAGGAAAATAATTTATCATGTTTCTCTTCAATAGTCTAGTAATGCCAAAACTTTATCAGAACTAGAGAATACTAGAATATGAAGAAATTGTGCTAAAGATTCTCCCATATAAATATATAATTTTATGAAAATAAATTATCAAGAGGTAGGTACAGCACTGCCAAAGACATATCAGGATGATATTTTATCTACAGTAATTCAAATTCAAATTTCTTCTATTACTTTTCAAGTATCATTTAAGTATAAAACAAATAAGATATGTCTTGCTGAATCATGAAAGCATTATTCTTCAACTGAATTCTAGGCATTTTTTATTTTAAATGAATTACCAGAAAAGGGTCTCCAGCACTGAAGTCAAAAGACAGAATCAACTTCACCTGCCTCTCAGGACGCAAAACCGAAGGATACGCTGTATTTATAGTGAGACCAGCATCAATTAAAGATACGATGGGATTGCTTGTGAGTTCAGGAAATTTAACATCAGCTAATCATATGAAATGAAACAAAATATTAGTGATAACTCTTTATTACACCAACTAACTTGTTAAAGTGACTGTATGGCAAAAAACCTGACATTATTAAATAGTTTAACTGATATATCTAATACCTGTAGAAGCACTGCTATGAATATGCAATGCTTAGAGCATTGAGAACTTATACACAATATATTTGCAGAAGTAGTCAATTAGATGGGAGCATTTTTCTACAAAAGAATTTTGTTGGACAGGTACATTGCCTATCAAGTAAAAAAGGAGGAGCATCTTAGTCCAAAGGTGAACAGCTATTATTTTCTCCACAAACACTAATTCCTTGCGTGTCCAATCACACTTGGCCAATAAAGAATTCTATTCTACTCTACTCTATTCTATTCTTAAGCAATCCTTCTTGCTTCTCTCTCCTCCCTTCTTTTCACGTTTACGTACATTGTTAGATGACATCCAGTGCAAAATTTCTCATACTGAATATTTTCCAGTTCTCCTAAAAGGACACAGGAATAGAAGGCAAATGGGGGGAAATTGATAATATCCCCAAGATTTATATATTTGGTGTTTTTAATGCAAGGGTATGGTAATTTTCTCAAGTGTGATCTTAAAGATATACATTATACAAAATGAATAGTACAATGATTATAACTTACTACATTGGTACAGGAAATTATGGATGCTACCCCAGGACCAATTTAAAAGGCACAAACATGTTTTTTTCACCATTTTAAGACATCTCTTATTGAACTCATTGGTAAAATCTAAAAGAAATGACAGTGAGACGTAGGAATGAAAGAGATAAAATTATAAACAGTTGAAATGCCAGCTATTTCCCATTCATTTTTTTTAATCTTTTAAATCTAGATGTTGCTTTTCTAATACATGGTACTAAATATTAGGAAATAAAAAATCGAACATGAAATATGAAAATATATGGAATATATTTATTATTTTGCCAACCTTCTATAAAAAGCATGCTTAACATCTGGTTTTTCCATTGCAATTTATAATCTCAGAAGTGCAATATTTTCATTACACTTTACACTGACACAGTGTAAAGCCCTATTGGAATCCTTATGAAAAAAATTTAAAGGTAGATGTGTCCAAGATAATTATTCACTTGAAGTAGACCATTTGTAATTAAATTGCTATGACAATGAAATATTAGTCTTCTATTATTCTTTTAACTATCCTTTGTTAAAATCCAGCTTTTTCAGAAGGTCTTTAAGTTAATAAATCATTAGAGGAAGATCAACACAATTTTTATTATTGCTTACCATGTTTATAGTTTTGTTTTCCAAAATTTAAAGATCTAAATATGGCTTTTGTATTGTTTCATTGTTTGCTACCTAGAACCTATGAGATGGTTTGTACATCTATTAAAAAAAAACCAACAACACAAAAACTTTAAAGAAGCCATGCATTATGGATAATCATTAAGGTTTTCCTGTCAACTCTTTCTCTGATGCTATTCTTTTTGGTACTCTGTAAGTTATAAAATATCATAATATTCTATCCTATTGATAGATTGTATAGCTTTCTATTTTTAAAAAAATCCATTAAATTCTGATTGCCTTAAGAAATCTAGAGGCTCTGAAGAAGAATGAAATATCATGACAACCACTTGCCTCCAAAATCAGCATCCAAAGTTTGAAATAATGTTGTGTACTGTTCTTTTTTTCTCTGTTCATCTGCAGAATACCAGGTCTCACGCATTTCTCTGATCAACTGATAGCTTTTGCTGTATTTGTAATCTTTATAGAAATGGAAGATGGGAATTTTAGTTAACTAAGCAGCTTTTACTCAATAAGCACATTCCATGTATGACATACACTAAATTTACATTTGGTTTGGGCTTACGAGGAAGCATTTAAGACAGCAAGCCAATTCAGTTCATCTAAATCAGCAAGACTTTCATTTCAACTTTCATTTCAGAAGAATAGACAGAAAATAATTACTAATTATTTAAATATTTAAACCTGGGTCAACTGGGTCAACTAAAGTTGCAATCAGTAACTTAAATTGAGATGGGATGATTTTTAACAGTTAGTAGCAAATTTTATTCAATGGTCTTGGATACAATTATTTATTTTGACTCTGAAGCATTTATAGACTATTCAAAGCTTAAAACTGAGTTTTTTCTAATGGCTGGTAATTTTGGTTTCTTCTAGGCCAGGAGTCAATTTTAATTTTTGGGATTGCAGTATTGTAATATAAATTTAAACTATTGTAATATATACTTTTAAATCAAATGACATATGAAATGTTTATATTGCATGGAACTTACTTTTGAATATTCTTCCCCCCGCCACTCTGGTTTATTAAAATCTTTACTATCTCGATATCGTCACATTTTCCTTAGGATCAGGTAGATAATATACAGTATATAACACATATTTTCACAGGGAAATTATCTTCTTAGAAATTCTTATTGTGCACTCTGTTTGTTAGATTGTTGGTCCAAAATGGAGAGTATTTGACCAATCAAGTTGTCTTTCCTTTGGAACATTATTCCCTAAAAGACTCATGAGCCTCCTACAACAATGATTTTGACATGCACTGAAGATCTGGATATTCAGGCAAGGTAAGTCCCTTATAAGATTTTGTTTGCTTCTGCATTCCCACCCTGCCCCCAAGTCCACGATGCATATAATCTGCTTCTCCAGTTTATTGTATTATATTGTAATTTGTATTCTGTATTCTGGAATTGGTCCATCAGATAGCTGAGTTGTTGTGGAATCAGGCAATATTGGAATTGAATTAAATAAATCAATGGAATTGAATGAAACTACCCAAACAAACACATATACATACAAATAAAACCACCTCAGGCTTAAATATGTACTTAATTCAGAGAATTCTTAAAATAAATATACAATTGAAATCTTAGGGGGTTTGATGGCTAAAGGTTTGATGGCTAAAGAAAAAATCTGTGATTTTGTTTTCATTTTGGTAATTTCAGAAAAACTTTTGTATGCTCAAAGATAGCTCAAAATACTGAAAGAATGGGTGCTGAAGTTCATAGAATTGACTCAAGTAGTACTTTAATCTATCTTGTCTAGCTTTGTTTCCTATGTGAAAATGACTTTTTGCTAGAACTCCCAAAATGCTATATTAATTTGGGGATTTGATTATTATAAATGTTTATAGAAATACTGGGTATTATCAAATTTTAGATATAAAAATTTAATATATTTTATATATGTAACTGTCAAAAAACCCTTGGAAACTATTTTTGTTTTCATTTTTTATTACACTGCATCTTTCCTTACCATAAAATTTTCCTTCTTAATATTTTTTAATGTTTTACATTTTCTAGAAATTTAAGTGTATAAAAAAACCCCAATAAAACCTTTATTTTTATATAGAGTTTATATTAACTTACCTTTCAAGATATTTTCCAGGTGATCAAATTTATCTAGTCCTTCTTTATCTGTAGATTCCAATAACTGCAGTTCCAGGAGTGTCTGATAGCATTCATAGAGCATATTAAATTTCTTAATGTCTGCTTTTTGACAATTGAAAAGATAAGAAAAACAGATTAGTATAATAATAGAGTTGGAAGGGACCTTGGAGTTTACTAGTTCAACTCCTGCTCAATCGAGAAACCCTATACTATTTCAGTGAAATGGTTGTCTCTTAAAAAGTTCTAGTGATGTTTAAGACATCAGGCTAGAAACCAAAAGACTTTGTATTTAGGGCCTGCTTTAAGTACAAAAGCCAGTCATTCTCTCTCAACCCATGATATCATGCTCGGGTAACAAACCAATCCATTGCCACCTATGGATGAATATTTGCTTGATCTGAAAAACAGGCTGTGCAGCAGAAAATGCTATGGGGGAGAGGAGTGAAAGAAAGGGATGTATTTGCAATAAATCTTACCTAAATCTTTTGAAGTTATGTCCTCTGATTTTTCACATTTGCCAAAATCTTTTAAAGCATCTTAAAAGATAGATGAATACATTCTTAGCTACAACAGTTTACTTTTTCTAGCACAATATTGCAATGTAGTTTTAAACAAACAGAAAGGTGCTTTAATCAACATGTTGCCAAAATGTTTGACTCTCTCTATAATTGATTCTTTTAACCATAATACTTTCTTGACATTTATAATGCTTTGTGATGTATTAGTATTATCCTTGGAATTCTACTACTCTATGTACTGTACATTATTCCCAGCACTGAAAATTTGTATGAGAAATGAGGAAACAGGAGCCTAGAATCAACTAAACCAGTCTGTTTTCTACTAGGCATTCCATTAGAGCTGACCTTGTTTGCCATCTATAACTACAATAATTACAGAAAGAGAGAGGGTATAAAAACATATCTGGAGAATGCAATTATTGGATTATTATTTGGAGAATAACTATAGTCAGGTAATGAAGCATTTACAAGAAAAAAAGAAGTTCAAGGTCTCCAGGGATCAACTCTATGCTACATATATTATATTCTATTGGCAATCTAGGAAATATCTTTCATATCTTTTACTATTTAGGACTAGGGTAAACAGATATTTTGTAATTCAACATTCATAAGCCTTAACTGTGTGATTATAGATAATGGAATTCATAGATTTTAAAGCTACTGCCATAGGTTCTAAGGTTGGGAAGTTGAAACAGTTGGCTCAATATATGTAACTCAGCATCAGTGGTGGGTTGCAGGCAGTACACCCCGGTACGGGCATACTGGTGCCTGCCCGGAGCACTGGTACCATTCCGGTATGGTGCTCCGGAGGGCTCACCCACCCACCTGAGCTCCTTACCTATTTGAGCTTTCAGTGCTTCCGCTCACGCACACAGAGCATACGGCACCTGCGCGATGCTTTGACAAACAGATGGAGTGTCACAGAGGCTCGCAGAGTCTTCACAAGAGGTAAGGATGCATGCGCATATTGCATGCATATGTGCACACACTGCACACATTCATGTGGTGGATGCCAGGCCCCATTGCAACTGGTACGGGTTAGCGTTAAGATTAGGATCCGGAACCCACCACTACTCAGCATGTTTGTGATCTCCACTGAATCGTGGACTCATCCGATATCACACTAATCCAAACACAAAAAGAATGATACCTGATATAGTCTTTGAAATCTCTTGCTCGCCTCCAAGAGCACTTCCCCACAAACCTAAAAATAAGGAAAATACCTTTCATATTACAATCTAGGGTTTGCAGTAGATCCATTTGTTTTAAATAGACAAAATTCCACCATGTAGCCCAGAAAAATAAAATCAATCTAGCCAAGCACCATCCTTTCTTTGTACCTTGGATTATTATTAATGCCTCTTGGTTATGTTCTTAAACAATTTATTCCAGAAAACTCTTGATGAAATGATTTGTTTGAACTACATATTTTAAATTTTCAGGGGCATGTTCCCTCTCTACATTTTTATTAAGTAGTTATGCAAATACAAAAAGTGTTTCTTTGTTTCAAGGGCAAAAAAATTCAGATATGACATACCTTGCAAATAGCAAATATTTTTTCCTTTTTTTTCTCTGATCAGCTGCCCATTTTGAAATATGCTCCCAAAGTATTTGCTATCTACATATGTCCCTAGTCCAGGAATTCCAACCTCATGAGGGGTAAACTCAAACCAGGTACCTGAAAATATTACAGCAAAAAAAGCAAAAATTAACATTCTAATAAAATTAGTACAATTAAAATTATTACATTGTACAGAGCTCGACTTTACCCAAGACTACACAGGCCAAGGTTATGATTAAAATTAAGATAAATGCCTTAGACAATTTAGAACCATGGCTTTGTCAATTTCCCTATTCTTATCATGGCATCTGGACACAGACTATTAATTCCCCCAATTTTAAGATGTAGAATTAACTGTAGAAATAAACAGGCTAGAGAAGAAATCAAATAGTATTTACAGCATGTACAGAGGTTCTGATCCAACAGTGTGACCATGTGATTATAACTATTTTTTTCAGATGTACATGGAAGAACTGGAAATGACATTCAGTTATAGTCACTTCATTGTGACTAAGATATTGCCAATGGAAAAGTTCAACTACAAAATTATTATTGCAGAAGTTGGCTGCGCTTTGTGAGGCATAAATCACCAATATATTTCTGATCCTTAGTTAACATAAGATTATTTGAAAATGTCTCATTTAGAAGCTTTGGACAATTGTTTTTTTTAGATTTTTCAGTGATTTTAACAAGTAAGAACTTCTGATTTGAACAGTAAAATTTGGAAGTATAGACAAGCATACTTACCTGCATTTGGATTCTGATAAGTTTGCTTGTTCACAGCTGCATAGATAGGATAAGGGTTTTTTCCATTCTCACAAGATCCAGCATGCTCAGACAATTTTCCTTCCTCAAACTGAAATAAATTTATTTTGATTTAATTACTTTTCCCCCTTTTCATTGTTCATTGCTGTATTTAAGGGAGATATTGCCTTGACACATAACATGCAGGAAGATGTGGGTGCCTTTTTTACATTATATAATTATATTGTACATTATGAATGCAAATTTATTGGGCTATAATGAGATACAATTAAGATCAAGTAAGGTGCTAATACCACTCTATAAAGCCACACCAGCAGTGGTATTCAGCAGGTTCTGACCAGTTCTGGAGAACCGGTAGCAGAAATTTTGAGTAGTTCAGAAAACCAGTAAATGCCACCGCCCCACCTATTATCTGCCTCCCAAGTCCCAGCTGATCAAATGAAATGGGGATTTTGAAGTATCCTTCCCCTGGAGTGAGGAAAGAATGGAGATTTGCAGTATCATTGCCCGGGTGTTGGGTGGGAATGGAGATATAGTATCCTTCCCCTGCCATGCCCACCAAGCACATCCACAGAACCAGTAGTAAAAAAAAATTGAATCCTAATTAGGATTCAGCATTCAGCATTCAGTTTTAGTCACTACACTATAAAAAAGATGTTGACACTCTAGAAAGAGTGCAGAGAAGAGCAACCAAGATAACTGCGAGACCGCCTACTGCCACATACCTCCCTACGGCCAGTAAGATCCCACTGATTGGGCCTCCTTCAGATGCCGTCAGCCAGACAGTGTCGGCTGGCGGGCACCCAGAGGAGAGCCTTCTCTGTGGCTGCTCCGACCCTTTGGAATCTGCTACCCCCAGAGATCCGGAACTTACCCACTCTCATGGCCTTCAGGAAAGCTGTTAAAACCTGGCTGTTCCGGCAGGCCTGGGGCTGTTGACCTCATTGTTAAGGTCCAGCCCTAATTAGAACGAATGCGTGTCTTGTGAATTTTTAAACTATTGTTTTTTTAAAAAAAATTCCTTTCTTTCTTTTCTTTTTTCTTCGTAAGCCACCCGGAGTCCTTCGGGATTGGGCGGCATATAAATTTTAACAATCAATCAATCAATCAATCAATCAATCAATAAATAAATAAATAAAGGACTGGAGGCTAACTTACAAGTCCCTTTCTATTCTGTTCATGTTATATCTGTTAAACTCCTAGGACATCACATAAGATCATCCAGTGGGACCCAGAATCAGAAAAGGCTACTCATTTATTTTAACTATCAAAGAAGTTGATAGAGTCTGAATATTGTTTTCCACCCACCTTGCTTAGCAGTTTATGCACAAGAAAATAGGACCAGAAATCAGTGAGAGAGTAACATTCATCTTCTGTAGCCTCTAGAACAGCTTTTATTGCTTTATTAACATCCCACTGGCCTTGGACAAGATTTTCAATCTGACATTTAATCACATTCTCTATTTCTTCTGACCAATCTTCATTTTTGTATAAGGTTGGCAAGCTCCTTTAAAAAGAACAAACCAAATATCTTTAGAACAATGGAAAAGTGCATGGAAATCATGCACAAGGAGTTTATTTACAGTTCATGCTAAAAAATAAGAAATCTGAAATCTGAATTTTCATTCTGATGAGAAAAAAGCTACATTCATGTAAAAATAATATTCTCAAAATTCTAAATATTAGAGAAAACATTAGAGTTCATTAACAACTTTAGAGATAACTAAGTGAAATTCTCTAATAGAAAATTGGAATACAAATATGGCTTTCAAAAAGGCTTTAAAAGCATGTCTTTAACAGATTTTTAACAATGTATATTCGTGCAATGCATGATTATATATGAATGCTATACAAGCTTTTATTCATTTAATGAAAAAGGCTGTATCCTCTAAAATTTATCCCATAATAAATATGTCAATTGCCATAAACATGTCAATTACCGAAAACCATGCATAATTAAATACTAGGAGGTAAGAATAGTTTAAACTTTCCCAAGCTTTCTGGCATTGTGAACTGGGGGGGGGGGGGCAGGTGAGTGGCCAGTGAGGTCACATGCATGTGCAGCTTCATTTGCACAAGTGGTAGGCAAAGAGAACATGTATGCACATGCTTATTGTTGCTGACCCACTGCTCACAGAAGTGAGGATACCACTTGCGCAAATAGAGGACATGTGCATGTGCTCGCTGCTTTCCCTGCTGCTCATACAAGTGGAGATGCACTCACATGTGCTCACTCACCACTTCTGCAGCTCAGATCTAAACAGCTCATGGCCTGGTAGTGAACCATGGCCAGAGGAGCCCCCACCACCCCCACCACCAACGTAGCCGGCTTTGGGTCTAAGGCAGCATTAGAACTTACAGATCAATTTTTAGCATGATACCTATTGTAACTTGTGTTTGTGAGGGAAAGACACGCAGGAGCCATGGTGCAAGACAGATCTTTATTATGACACAGGTGACAAGCGATTCGAACATTCCCTGAACGGTCAGGGTATTTATACCAGCACTCAGACCAACTGTCAAAATGACCAGCCAATCAGGTCGCAGCTGGTATTTGCATATTCAATATTCAACAATACCTTAACTATTACACAAAAATGGTTCACATAAGGGTTATCATTGACTTTCAAATCTCCTTAGTTGTTTTACTTTTGGTAATGACAACAGGATGTGGTTGAAATTAAAGATGAATTGATTTAGTAATGTAATCAGTGAGTATTTGCAGTAATTATTTGCTTTCACTGTCAGTATAATAGACTTACCAGGTAGAACCTGACACCCCACCCAAGTACATAACACAATCCAAAAGGTTATATTTCTTCAGCTCTGCTAGAGTGCCATAAAGTGCAATCATAGCCCTCATAGCTCCTCCTGCTCCTAGGACAGCAATATTGGGGATGTTCTCCTAATGGGATAAAAAAGGGAAGAATTAAATACAATTCTTTATTAGTATTTCATGGAACACTCCATCTAGTTTATTGGATAACTGAATAATACAGGTGTGCTCTTGCCTTATACCTAGATTTCTTTTTCAACTTCTTGATCTAGCCAATAATCCTACAATTCCTTAGTATTCTTTTATCCAAATAATATTCAGTCCAAATGTCTTTAAGTTTCAAAATCAGACAAGGTCAGCAAAGGGTTACAACTTGCTGAGGTTCTTATATTTAAGAATATAAATAGGTACTTGAAACGGCCGTGCTTGAAACTTGGTTTAACAATGATTCAGAAGAAATATTTCATAATAAGCATGAGCACAAGTGTAGCACTTTTCTACTTTTTATTAAAGCAACACAGCTCTTTTTCATGATACCATAAGACCCTAAAAAGCCCCCAGGCTTATAGTTCTGGGGGATTTCAACTTGCCATCGCTCGGTGAACGCTCTGATGGGGCGCAGGAGTTCATGGCNGTCCAAAAAACCCGTCCAAAAATCCTTCGGAATAGAGGAATTTCAGGAATAGCCTGAAACTCCATCTTCTCACTGCTAAGCCCCGCCTTCTTCCAAGGTAAGGAATATCTTAAATATGAAGATAAGGAAAAACCCTAAATTATACCACCACTGATTCATCATTTAGAAATATTTCATTACCTAAACAGACAAGCAGAATGACCAAGAGTAGGCAAAAAACAGTGGGAGTAGGAGCATCTTCCAACTTCATGCCAGCTTCTATCTTGTGTTCCCTTATGGAAATATGGGAGGAAGTACCAGAAATCTCCTTCCTCCCTCTCTTCCCTTTCTGATTTTCCTTTCCCTTCTCCTTTCCCTTCCTGCAAGGAAGTAAGTAGCTGTTAGGGGTAGAGTAGAGAGTGAGGGATTGTGAGACTGATTGGGAAAAATGTCCCAGAACATTGAAAATGATGATCATGTGACTGCAGTAGCAGCAGCCCATTTCAGTAACTAATAGTGCTGAAGCAGGCACAATTTCACCAATTTCATTCCCTCAGGAATCATGGGTTCCAGATTTTGGACACTTTCAGTTAACCAATTTGAGATAATTTGGTTCAAAATTGTTGCCCTATTTCCATGCCAAGAGTTTAGTAGTATATGGATAATATGCCTCTGGAAAAAAATGTATTTTCAGAATACAGAAAACAGAATTGAAATGAACTTTAGAAGTCTTCTAGTCCAACCCCCTGCTCAAGCATGAGACACTACACTCTTCTGAATAAATAACTATTCAATCTCTTCTTAAAAACTTCCAGTGATCAATATTGGAAGAGTATACTTTGCATTTCAAAGTATTTAAAATCATGAATAATCTAATATGCAAATAAGAGGTATTGGATTTTATTACATTTGAATTTGGAGGCTTTTGATGAAATATTTCTAAGATATTTTCTCCATCTGGCATGCTTAGATGTGTTGAGCTATGACTTCCATATCTACCAGACAATGGTCAGGGATATGAGGAATGTATGCAAATGTTGGGAAACACAGAGTACATAAAATTCAGCAAAAAAGGAAATGCAATGGAAGTGGGAGGAGAAATAGAGAACTATAGTGCTTTATTTTGTATTAGACATACAATTTGGAGACCACTCATTAAGGTTGTCCCTGAACTTCTTGATTCTGCAAAAAAGAACACTAACATTTGAATATATTTTGAGGGAGTGGCAAACTTACCATAATTTCCTTTCTAATAAAGAATGAAAAATGAATCTCTGAATTATACCACGTTGCAGACTTACATTGTTACATTTCTGCAATAAAATGAAAATTTAACAGCAGAAACTCACTTGAGTGCTTCTTTAAAGAACTCCATTATTTAAATATGTATTTACACATATATACATACACACACATACACACGCACACACTCTAATCATAATTGAAGAATAGATGTGGATCAGGATAATTTTATTTAGAAAGCAGAAAAAAATAATTTCTGAATATCCTGATCTGCACATAACATTCATAGCACTACATAAGAGATTATGAAATTTTGTTGCCATGTTTTCTAATTACCCTGAAGAGGGCTTCCTTCACTTCTCTGTTTCTCAAGCTATAGATAAGAGGGTTNCCCCTGTGGTTGTAAGCCGCCCTGAGTCCCCTCAGGGAAAAGGGCGGCATATAAATCCCAATAAACCTCAAACCTCAAACCTCAAACCTAAAAAGAGGGAAATGTGGCTATTATAAGAACATTAAATTTAAGATGACATTTTAAATCAGCTTCCTTTTTTTCAGGCTATGTAGAAGCTTGAAAAAAGTTGAGCTACTTTAATAAACAACAGAGAAGTAAATTACTTGTGCAAGATACTTCTAGACTGGATGTTGGCAACCAGCAGCTCTCAAGCTGAATGCAGCTATTTTGCCTCTGCCATATTTCTATAGCTAATGAAACTAACTCTTATTTTCAGAAAATTCTTATCCTGTCCCTCAGCTCTTCTTTCCTTTTTTTTAAAACATTCAGCTGCTTGATGATAGTCAAAGAAATTCAATAGCTGCAGGCAAATTTTTACAGCTTGACCCAAGAATCAAATAATTTTTTTAAATCCCTCTTTTATTACTTTCCCTTCCTCTCCCTACAATTGCCTTTTTATTGTTTATTGCCCAATATATTGTAGAGGCTTTATTAAAGTGGAGGAATTTTTGACCTTCTTGATAAGAGGAAATGAAGGAAAAATCAAAATCTGGAGAAATTTATAGATAAATGGAAAAAGCTTAGCATGACTACCATATCTGACCTGAAAATATCTGGATGACCATGCAATAGAAATGAAGAGATGAAGAAAGCAGTATCTCTCTCTTGTTACCTACCATCATTTAGTTTTTTTTCAACTTGTATGTCTATGGTTGTCTAGGAGATATATTTAACATCTTAAACACTACCGTAAACCTGGAAGAAAGGCAATTCTGGAAATATTTTAATATCAATTAAACATGGCTTTCATGTTGGGAAACAGGAGAGCTAGGGACACAGAAAGTCTTTTAAATTAAACAACAAATGCTTAAAATTTGACTTTATTGGATGAAAGATCAAAGATTTTGTGGCATTTATCTTGCTTTGTTACTAGTATCCTCAGGTAGACATATCAATGAAAACCTACCGAATCACACTGCATCCCAAGCTTAGCAAGAGCTTTTTGCACCTTTTTCTTCCGAGCAGTTATAGCTACTTCTTCACCATCTGAGAGAGATTTTGAAATCCGTACTTTGGTTTTCCCCTAACAAATACACATACAAAACAATCATGGGAAAAATATATTCAACTTTACTAGCAAGTTAGACAACAAGGGGAATTAATGAACATTTTGACTCTATAACAAACTGATAAGCTGGATTATGGTGGTAGTGATTTGTTCCTTCAGTCTTATCCTTTCAAATAATATTGTATTAAACTTACATTAAAGTATCAGTTGTCCATGGACTGGATGCCATCTTTCTTATTTAAATTTCCCACACCCAAAAGACAATTAATAGTTCATTCCAAAACAATTTAGACAAGAGACTGATGTGCATCAATTTACATTATTTTTATAAATGTATACTTTGTTTTTATATCATTTTTATCAATTTGGGTATAAATTATGTAAATACAAATAATATTAATTACACCAAAGTCACAAACTTGGATTTAACAGATGTCCCTTCCCTTTAATGATCCATTATATTAAAATTTTATGATATTGGTAAGGAAGGAAATGTCTGCATTCATTAGTGTTATTTTACTGCATCCTGTTGACCAACTTTAATGATTTCATCTTAATATGCAATATTATTATTTTTTTAAAAGCTGCATTTTTAATTTTACTGATGTGTGAAAATAGAGGCACATTACCTTTCCAGTCATATCCATTTTATATTCCAGGCTTCTTTGCAGGGAACACGCAGTAATATTCCTCTGAATGTTCAGATTTTATAAATTCTGGCAACCAATAAAAATTATTTTGTTTATAGAAGGACCACAAAGTTTTGCAGCATGAAATGGTACGTTACAACTGTCCCGTTTCTGGAAGCAGGCAGTGCTTAATATTGCCCCAGAAGAGGCTGGAACTTGCTGATCAGTAATATGATCCCTTCAACATTTCTTCTTTCTGCTCCTGGCATCCTATCTGCTGCATTTGATGACTCATTCTATTCTACAAGAGGTCAGTTAATGTGGCATTTACAAGGAAACTAAGACAAACTAAGAGTAGATAAGGCTAGTTTTGGAAAGCCAAGAGTAGATTATTTGGTTGATATATTCATAGGGAATAAAATGCATTGTGATAACAGCCTCCACCCCCTTTCTTCTTCTCTTTCTCTCTTTTTATTTTACTGTGAAGCTTCAGATTTGGGGAAATAAAAGACTAGAGAGCTCTTGGATTGATACCTTATTTTTAAGACAAGGTGACTAAGTATTTTTCTGTCTTAAAACACATCCTTCTACTGGTTGAATGATAGTTGTGTTGCTTCGTAACTTGACCTTTTTCTCTTTCAGATTCATGCTTTACAGAAAGGAATGATGACCTGATTTCTCAAGTGACTTGTATCTCAAAATTCCTACTATCTAGCACTTGGAACACTTTCAAAGCACAGTTGCTGAAAAACAATTGCACTGTTTGTGTAAAATAGGGGTGGTTGCTTGAATATTTACAGAGTCACACCTCAAGAATGCTAATGAGTCACTTCAGAAGGGATCCAGGGGTGGGAAAGATTTCAAGAGCATGCATAGGCACCCCTTACAGATTTTTGATGATACTTCACAACTATCTAGCATACGCTGAATCTCTTGTAGCTTCAGTCAAAAGGAAATTATTTGTCTTATTAAAGTAACCTGTAAATTAAAAATGGAATGAACATTTTAAAAGGCATGCATCTAGGGTCATTCAGACTTTATTTAGGAGTTTTACAATATTTATTTCCAAGGCCTATATACAAGTTGAGGTGTTCAAAATAAATAATGCCTTTAAGCCTGAACATAGTACTATATTTAAGTAATATTATTTTATCTTAATCATTTGCAGCACTCTACTTCAACTATAATTCAAATATGTACTCTAAATCTTGATGCTGAGAAAACCTTCAATTCTCTAATAATCTAAAACAGGTAAATGTGATTCCTCAACATGTATTAACTGAGAAAGGTATTTATTAATTAGGTTTTCATCTAATAAATTAGTATGTGCTAAAATGCCATTTGAAAGAATTCCTGGCGTTATCACAAGCATCTCAAACTATTTTTAAAAATCCAATGAAGTTGCCACCATAGGAGAGATTTAAAATCAAACAATGACAGCAAAATAACCTTCAAACAGAAAAGGAAAGGAAAATTTGCATGCATAATTTGTGAAGTCATGTAATTACATGCATTAATTACTTTTTCCTTTTTACTAAAAATGTATCCTTGAAGTATAAACCCAAAGTCTCAAGATTATTATAAATGTGTTATAAATCTAAAGTTTTTCAAGTCATGTTTGAGTCCAATTGATTTCATGGATAGATTTATATTGTTTTCTTGATAACAATACAGAAAATGTTTGTATTGTCTTCTTCCAAGGTAAGCCCCAACTCCTACTTCAACTTCTTATCTGGACTATGGCTTTGGGATTCTTTGACAACTACCATCAAAGTATTAGCAATCCCCAATTCTGCTTAATATCTGAATCAGCTGTGGAAATAAGGAATGAAATTCAATGTGGTTGTCTAATAAACAGCTATGGGAGTGGAGGTAACCGGCAAGCTTGAATAAAATTTTCACATGACAATTATTAATGCATGTATTTGTCCTATCTCAAATTGATCTTATAAGAATTCAATCAAGCATGTGACTCTTTAAAAACCTATGCCATAGTAAAGATGTCAAATCCCAGAAGAAACTTTATTATCTTATTTTCATATTTTCCATGTTGAGCTTGAGATAGTGCCTTTAGGTTCCACAATTATTGCAGTAGAATAGAGATGTGTGCTGAAAATCAGAAGTCAACTATATCTAGCACTAAATCCAACTTGAATATATTCTTGATTGTTGAACAACAAGGAAATTTTGGAAGAACTTTACAGAAGAAATCAAACTTTCTGAGATTTTTCATAGAAATGTTGTTCTATATCTTTATTAAATTAAATATAAATAAGTAAGCTGTGCACTGAATCACCAATTAAATGTTCAGTTTATTAAAGGAAAAGTTCATGAGGTTAAAACCATGCAAAAAAGCTTATTACCTTCTACATATGTGTGTGTGTGTGTGTGTGTGTGTGTGTGTGTGTGCGCACGCGCATATGCATATGTATGTGTGTGTGTGCACGCGTGCGTGCGCATATGCATGTGTGTGTATGTATGTATGTATGTGTATATATATTTATATATATACATACATACATAAGGTAAGGAATATCTTTTTTTTTAATAAATGTTTTTTTAATTTTAATTTGAAACAAGTACAGCATCTTTCTTTACATCTGTAGAAAATGTATCAATCGAT